CACTCTTGGCAATGGCAGAGGGGTTGAAAGGCAGTAAATGATTCCTACACATGATCTGGCTCCTTGCACAGGCAAAGAAAGCCAACAGCAGTGACCAGACAGCTCGATAAGTGCCCTGCAGCCAGAAGGAAGCGTCACACTGCACCTTGATAAGTTTTGGGGATGAACCTGGGAAGAAATGCTGAGATTAGCAGTCACCCTCCTCCCCCTTCCTCTGCAAACTCTCTCCATCCAATTGTGTCGCTCCTGACCTATGCCCCTGCAGCCAGGACCAGTGGGGCATGGTTTGGTTGATGAAGGTCAGCCTTCGTGATGCTATCCCAGCTTCAGTGTCCCCATCTCTGCTGCAAGGTGCAGGACCAGCCTCAGATTGACTTGGGCACACAACCTGAGAGTTCCTGGACCGCACCAGCCCTCTAGACAACTTCTAGGGCTGGTCCACCCACGGTGCCCACCCAACACAAGCTACAAGAGTGCTGTTGGAGGCTCAGCAGGGAGGTCCAGCTCCCAGGCTTGGTCTCAAGAGCACTGCCCTCCCTTGGAGAGAGGATCTCCTGGATTCCCTGCACAGGTCCCTCCTCCCCCGTAGCCTTCACCCTCTTACATGGCTAGGTTGTCTCTCCTTCCCTCCTCCCAGCAGGCCCAGGGCAAAGGGAGCTGCAGATGGGTGGTGGTGGCCAGAGTGGCTTCAGCACAGGTGGGAGCCCAGTGTGAGGTCAGGGATACGGCTCTACAAGGTGACCCAGAAAAGGGGACTGCTGGAGACCCTCAGCCAATGACCACCCCTACCATGGCACCGGGAGCCTGCCCTGCCTGTGCCTGAGTGAGAGGTGCTCATGGACACTGGTTATTCCACATCATCTGTAGCAGTTCCCTCAGCATGGGTAGTTCCTATTTCTCATTCCTTCATCCCCTGCTTTCCCAGAAGAGCAGCACTTCTTGTGTCCAGAACAACTCCAAACACACTGCACCTTTGGGGGGATTGACTTTCTCCCACCTCAGGCCTGTCTTCCCTTTTAAGAGATCTGCTGTCCATATTTACTCCATCAAGCTGTGGCCTTCCAAGGTCGTCCTCCGCTGAGACTGGCAGATGCCACTGAAATCCATCCCCAGCTTCCTGTGGGTCTCACCAATCCCTTTCTCACTCAGGGTAGCCTTAGCAACATTCCCATCTGTGGGAAGAGGCACGAGTTCTTCCATACTTGAGAAAGCTGTCCCACACAGTTCTTCCATAATTTGTTGCTGATTTGTTCCAAAATGCTTCTGCTAACAAATGTCCTGAGAGAGCCAAGAAATTGCAGTGCCTCTGAAACATCAAAGATATCTGGGCACATAATGGTGAAAATCTTTGGACCTCTTGACTCCACAAGCTAAGCAGCTACAGCACTATCCAGACAGGATAAAAGTATTTGTGCCACATGACAGATGAAGGAAAAAGATAAAGAAGAAAGCTTGGAAAACATAAAGGATCCATTCAAACAACAACAGTTTCTGGAAGAGCCCAAACTATCTTGCCTGTTGCACATGGTTCCCAGACCTTTTTACATGGACCACCCACTAGTCCTGCCTCCCTTCTCAAATCTCACCTGCATCCCAGTGCACACTGTGCTGATGTGATGGGTGGTTTTCACTCCACATCTCTTCCCCTTGCTCTCCCAGATGGCATCGGGGCAAATCCAGGAACGAAGGAAGAGGCTTGGATTACAAGGTTTGCCTCTTGTTCTTTACTTCCTAGAATTCCAAATGTCACTGGTCATCTGGAATGGCACCAGCCACCTACAGAGCTGCTTCTAGGTGTCCTTTTAGTGCTATCAAATCCTACCTTTCTCCAGGATGGATTCCATTCTCCTCCTGGGTGTGCACCCATCTGGTGGCTGCTCCTTTGGTGGCTTTGCCTCCTGTGGCCAAGATCTGCTGCTCCAGCCTGTGGAGAAGAAACTCTTCCAACACACAGCTTGCCTTGGAAATACCCCATGGCAGAAGCACAGCAGGTTGGTGATGTGTCTTATAGGCCACCTGAGCTGAAGGCTCAGACCTTGATCTCCAAAGGACCCAAAGGACCCAACAGGCCTCCGCTGCTCCCACCAAGGGAAGCCTTGGATGGAAAAGGCAAAGTATTCTGTACGGCCTCCAGCTGCAAAAGGCCTTCCTTTTGGAGTCCAGGAGGGACAAACTTCGTGGTGCAATCAACTTCCTCCCCTGAACATCTATCAGACAGCTGCTTTGCCAAATTTTGTGTTAGAAAATGCATGTTTAGTTACATGGTGGGTCCTCTCTCTCACTAAATACTCACAGACTCCTCTCTGAAAGCTCTGGTCACATCCATACCTCGCTGGAGAGGGCTCCTCCCATGCCCAAATACATGTATCTGGTGACTAAGCTGAGATTGATCAGCAAGGGCCAATTCTTAGTAACAATGGAAATTCTTTACCAGAAAGGACAGAGCTAAGTCGATGCCCTTCAGACTTTGTCCCTGTTATCCAGAAAGCACCAACCCTTCTGTAGTGCCCATCTTCATGAAACGACCGGAATTATTGTTACACATCCCAAGTTCGTTGCATTGCAACACTACACATCCCTGCTGTTCTGTTTTCCAAAAGAGGATGCTGCTAAAAATTACATGGCTGATGAAGAAATACAAATTAGCACACCCTCTGCCCAACCACGGGTCATTGGTGATGTATAAACACAGCTGAACCCCGGGGAAAGAACAACACCAAGTAAAACAGAAGGTAAAATAATACTGCTTATTTCCACATCTCCCTCATTACTGCAAAGCCCATGTGTGCACTGTGGTTTGTGGTTGAGACAAGGCTGGACTGGAGTTTTGGTTGTGTCCTAAGGAAAGAACGTTTGTTGTAGCTGGGCTGGGATAAAGTTAGAGCTGGCATGGCCATGTGGGAGAGGGCTTGGCTTTGTCACAGTGAGCTCATCCTGGAGCCAGTGCAGCTGAATGGAGGCTGGAGCCGAGCTCTAGTTGTGTGTGTGCATGTGGAAAACATCAACCAGGGAGAGGGAAAGCTGTGATTAAGGCATCAAGCCAGCACAGGCATCTCACCCAACTCTTTGGAGCAGTTATTCCCATAAAAGTGTCCGTATCCAGCAGTAGAGGCCTTTGGAGTTAATGCTGCTATTCCCAGGGGTTACCAGGCTGCCAGTTGTGTAATGAAGACCCGGCTCATCTTAGGAGGCTGAGGAGAAAAAGCACTGAAATTTTTCCCTGTGAGGGTGGGGAGGCCCTGGCACAGGTTACCCAGAGAAACTGTGGCTGCCCCATCCTTGGAAGTGTCTAAGGCCAGATTAGACAGGGCTTGGAGCAATGTGGGCTAGTGGAAGGTGTCCCTGCCCATGGCAGGGGTTTGGAAAAAGATGAGCTTTAAGGTCCTTTCAAAGCCAAACCATTCTGTAATTCAGTGTTCAGGTACCCAGGAGGAGCAGGAGGAAGTCAAGGGGCTTCTGCACAGGTGTTTTACCTGGCCATTGCAAGAACCTGGGGGAAATCCCAGCCCTCCTGCCCGATGCCAAGTCTCTCCAGGAAGAGGGAGTCACTTGTCCCCTGGAGCCCAGGCCAGCACAGGGCTTGCAGCAGCTGTAAGCCACAGTGTGGGAGTGCCAGCTCTGAGAGTGTGGCCTTGGCTGATGATGGACTGGGACCAGCTTGGCATTCCCCGTGGCTCCCAAGGCCTGACAGATACCTGGAGAGCTGTGGCTGGCTTTCCAGAAACAGGCTTTCAGCCCCTGTTTGGAGTCATGGGTCAATACTGGGGCTGTGCTCCAACTCCAGAGTCACTGTCCTTGGTTTATTTTTCAGCAAAATGCAACAAACCCGTTTCCCTGCTGGTTAGGACAAATACTTGGTGTCAGGTTTTAACTGTGTTGCAAAATGCTGTTTTCTACCCGGGATGAGCCGAACTGGCCACTGGAGAATTGGAGCTGATGTTGTTTGAACCAATATTTGCTTCTAAGCATTGCTTCTAAGTATTGCCTAATTTCTAAACTGCACAGGGCAAACAAAGAGCTCTCTGTCGACCCTAAGCCGCTCTTCCTGGCTGGGAGCACTAAGCCCAGCTGCAGACTGTGACCTCTTGTCAGAGCTGCTTACTGTGCCATACCATTACAGATTTACATTCTTAGATTGGAAACTAATGTCAGCTCAACAGCCAGGTACCAGCAGCTTGACTCTCTCTGCCTTGCACAGCAGGTCTGCAGGACAGTGTCACTGCCCCCCATGCCTCCTGTGCACATTCCCCTTCCAGCAAACACCAGCTGCTCCAGCATCGGTGAGGAAACAGGTTTTCTTGACCTTCTTTCCCAAGCAGGCCCCCTCTAACTCCCCAGCCCCCTTGCTGAAGTCAGCAGAGGTTTCTGCTCCGCCAGCCAGTGGTCCATGCAAAACTCACCCTCTTGGATATGCAATTAGTGCCATTCCTCCTAATGAAGGATCCCAGTTTGCTTAATTAACCCAAAGGTTAACAGGATTAACAGAAACTCTGTGCAGCCTTGGGAGCTGTGATATTCCTGAAGGGATTTAGGAAGAAAAGGCAGAAATATATAGTGGGTTAATTATTCCTGCTGAAGACACACTTGCAAAGAGACCAGCTGAAGCCTGGTAACAGCCAGCCCTGCTTCCTGTATATTTACCAAAGATCATTGGGAACAAACCAGTAAAAACTGATATCTGGGAAATAAATGGCAGGAGTGCCAGGTGCCCTATGTGACCACAGCACCCTCAGCTCCTCTCCCACAGGACCCCTAGGTCCCTTGTGAGGGCACACACCTGGCAGTTGCACAACTCTTCTGTCCACAGAATGGTTGTGTCCAGCTCCGTGGGACATGCCAGGCAGTTTCCACGAGGGCATGTCCTCACAATGAGATGCTGGACCATCCCAGAGTTGTGGCTGCGTGAGAACAGGGGGAAAGGTGGCTTATTTCCAGGGGGAGGGAGCTGTGGCTCACATGAGCCACCGTGCACACATCCAGGGACAAGGGAGCAGGAGGGTGAGCGGGGACATTCCTCTGCGGTCACCGAGCCCAGGACACCAGGATGGGGACAGAGAGACGATGGTGGTGGAGCTGGCCAAGAAGACCTTGTAGTGTGAGGGGAGGAAGAGTGAAGAAGCACAAGGTGAACCTGGGCTGAGCCACTGCCAGTCTGCCACCATAAGGGGACACCCAGCTGGGTGCCAAAGGAGCAGAGGGACAGCACTGTCCAGCATAAGGAAGGTCCTGGCAGATGCAGCCAGGGGAGCAGCTCTGTGCCTGCTGCTAATGCTCTTGATTTGGGTGGACCAACAGTGACTCTTCAGGAGCTGTGGGCACAGAGCTGCTGGTGGAGCAGGTAGCAGAGGCCAGCAGGAAAAAGGACACAAAAGGGGAAAGCAAAGGGAGATACCAAGAAGGGAAAACTTGTGAACCAGCTTCCAGCAGGGCCGGCAGTACAAACCCTTGGGCTGGCAGCGCTGGCTGGCTGCTGAAGCAGCTCTGACTGCTGGGTCTGACCCAGGAGCAGGGACTGAACCTCTCCTTGTCCTCCACAGACAGCCCAGATGGGCTGGCATGGCCACCCACCGCTGCACCCAGGGGCTGGAGCTCTTAGGGAGCTGCTCCAGCCAGAAATGAGATTTGGGCATTAAATGAACGGGAAGAGGGTCAGCTCACCAGTGGGTCAAGCTGAACTCTACCACTTGCTGTTCAGCCCCTTTCCAGTTAGTTAATTTATGGTAATCATTAATTCCAAGCCCCTGTCCATGTGGGGAGCCTCACAATAGCTAATTTTTAATCTGTCACCTCAACCACATGCTGTTACATGGGTCCTGGTTGAAGCCACCTTCCCATTTAAACACTTTTACAGCCAATACAACTCCCTGCTGATTAATAGTGGTTGTTTTGAAACCACCAAAAATTTTGTTGGCCAACATTCCCTTCCACTCTGTAATTTTAAAGCAGCATTAAAGGGAATTAATGGAAATAATGCTTTGGAATAACAGAGACCCCCTGAACTTCAGTTAAATTAATTTTCCTTCTGCTCTTGAGATTTTCAAAGGCAGATCTGACCATGCAGCAGTCACGAGCCATGCAAACAACTCACCCTTTGGAGGTCAAGAGCAGAGTATGACACCTGTGAGTAAATACTGGATCCAGGACCTGGGAGGGCACCTCTTCCCTGCCAGCTGGTGAGCACCATACCATGGGTGAAACACCTGCCCTGCTCAGGAATCTCTGAGGAGCCCACAGGCAGGCCTGACCTCTCAGTGCCTCCTCTCACTCCTAGGTGACAGAGGAATTATTTTCCTGGTCCCTGGTCAAGATGTTCTCATCAAGATAAAATCTGAGGGGAATGGCTCCTCCCGTCCTCACTGCCTGGACACCCGGGGCTGGCACAGCCTTGAAGCACTGCTGGACCCTGGCTCTCAAACCACCTTGTCCTTTCCAGTAATTACTGTTTTGCAATGTGAAAACAATAAAAGTCTTGGGTCTGTTAAGAGGTCTGGGAGGAGAAGAGAGGGGGGAGCAAAAGGCCAAGCTGAGCAGATTTCAAACCCCCTTCTGATGGCTTTTGGACTCCTGTGGCATTTTAATCCTCATGGCATTTCCAGCTGCAGGGATAAAGGAGCAGAAAACCTAGGCAGAGGTGTAGGGGCTTCAGGGCACAGGTCTGGCTGGGGCTGGTCCCCTGGAGGGAGTTCTGGGATGGGGTGGCCAGCGGGATGCAGCAGCCCTCTCTCAGAATGTGATGGCAGAGCCCAGCTAGAGAGTGACGTGGCCCTAACAGCTCCTGAAAAGTGTTGCAAGAATAAGGAAGGAACAAGAAAAAATTCTTGCTCCAGATACTTTGCTAAAAGTTGCATAAGATGGAGGGATGTGGCTGCACTCTGTAGGTGTAATCACAAAATCCTAGAATGGTTTGGTCTGGAAGGGAACTTAAAGCTCATCGAGTTCCCACCCCCTGCCATGGACAAGGACACCTTCCACTATCCCAGGTTGCTCCAAGCCCCATCCAACCTGGCCTTGGACACTTCCAGGGATGGGGAATTCGCAACCCCTCTGGGCAACAACGATCACTGTTGTACAATGATCAGTGATCAGCAGTTATCAGTTATGTCCTAGGCAAGGGTACTGTATGGGCTGTAATGGCTTCATTCCACTGGAATTTCCTTGGAATTGCAATAGAAAGGGAAAATTAACTCCTTTGGGGGAGTCTGCTCACTGACAGTGACTGAGGGGCTCAGTCCACATGTTCATAGCCTTGCTACACCTGAGTTGACATCTGTTGTTCTCCCCTTCACCAGAGGTTTTGCCCTTCCATCTGCACCCCTCTGATCACCCACACTCTCCTCCCATCACCTGCATCTGCCAATGGCATCCACTACAAGCAGTAAGTCCTACCACTCCTCTGCCTGGTAGAACTTGGACTGGCACCACAGCCAGAGTGTGCCAGGAACCACATGCCGAAGGCAGAGAAAGAACAAGCCTTGGAGAAACACTGGTCAGCTGTGTAAGAGACATCACTTACCTGAAGGCATCACCAGCCCTTACAACCCCATCTTCCCTAATTTTCAGCCTCACTGGGGGCCTCCACCAACAATCTTCCAGGAGCCTGATCATGCTCAGCCCATCAGCCCCTGACAGAGCAGTGCTGCAGGAGCACTGGTCCCCAGCTCCACCACAGCTCTGCCCCTGCCTGGCCATGGCCCTGATGGTTCCAACCACAAGCCACAGACAGACTCAGCTGGTCCTTGGACCTGCCTGGTGGTCCCCAGGCTGTGTCCAACCCTGCTATTGTCCCCAGACCCGATCCCAACCTCAGACCTGCCTCTTCAGCTCCATCTTCCCCGGGGATCTGGACTCTCTGCTGAGCCCAGCTGCTGTTCCAGGGCCCATCCTGCTCACCTTGGATGGAGGCTGTGATGGAAAAGGATCAGGCTGGGGTGCCTCCTTTGGGAGCAGGCAGCCCTTGCAGTACCCTGGCACATAGGCAAGAACACAAAGCTGTCTCCTGGTTAGACCAGGGAATAGAAAAGACCACAACTCTCTTGTAGGGCTTTGATCCCATACTTCAATCCATTTACAGCCCACTTTATCCTGGGCAATGATTATTTTGGATGCAGCAGTAGGATTTTTCCATTAAACCAAATGTTTCTACTAAGTCCTGGCCCTTGCAGGAGTCCCACAGCCCCAAGCTGACATAAACACCATCTTCTATAAACATGCCATGGAGACATAACACGAACAAACAGCAGGAAAGGCTTTGTGGAGATCCTGTTACAAGCAAGATATTTGTTCCTTTTGCACATTCCTCTCGAGGTGGGAAATCCCCCAGAAAAGACCAGGCCTTTTGTCAAGGTCATCAGACTTGTGTAATGACAGCAGGGAAGCTGGGGCCACCAAACTTTGTCTCCTTCCTCATCTACCACAAGGAATGCTAGATTTTCATGATATACAGATTTTCAGAGCACAGCAGCAAACAGCTTCTCAGGAGCAAGTTTTACACCAAAAGAATAAACAGTTTTTTACTCATTAGCATAATATTTCTATTAGCAACACTTGCAGGCTCTGGCTGTGACAGAGAACTTAATAAATTGAGGAAGGCAAAAGAAGGGAACATCTTGCTCTGGTTTAGCCCTCTAAAAGTTACATCTAGACTGCCTCTCTCATCCCAGGGTGTTGACATCTTCAGAGGATAATAATAGCAGAGGTAACATGGAGTATTTTGTGGACATGGTAGAGGACACAGGTGGTGGTTCAGATGGGGCACTCACCTGCCTGGTGGCCAGTGGAGGTTATTCCCATCATCAGCAATCTGAGCTGGGTTAAAGGATTAACTGTAAGTCAAGCTGTCCTGATTTTAAGGGCACCTAGAGTGGTTTGGGGTTACCTCGACTGTGCTCACAAATGCCAAAGTACTGCCTGCTTATTTATCCAGTAGCCATGGAGCAATTTCTTCTGGTCACGGGTGACTGCTTAAAAATAAAAGAGGTGGAGGCAGAAAGGCTGGAGGGGAAACACAGAGGATGTGCCATGGCCAGAGTCCCATGGCAGGGACATTCCCCCCAGGGCACCCTGAGTTCGGGACTGTGGCCACCTCCTGTGCCAGCTCCTGCACTGGCAGCACTCAGGGTCTTGGCTTGAGGGGACAAACCAGGAAGCAGTATCCCAACCCAAACCTTGGACATCATCATCTCTTGAAGGATTTCAGTGGGATTCTGAGTCTGCTAAAGTCACTTTCCTGCATCTGCAGTCTTCATCAGCAGGGTACCGAGCCAAAAAGCAAACTCCAGCATCTTAGGCACAGGACACAGCCCTCCTCTCCAGGAACTGCAGCTCCTTCTGCTCATACAGTTTGACTCAGGACTGCTCTTTGAACTCTAACACATGGCAAGACTGGTTCCTAGTTTGAGGAAAGATCCCTCTTTTCTTTTTTTTTTTCCCTTTAATTCAGCCCTTACCCAGTTCACAGTTATCAAAGTCTCATGTTCATGCATCTCCTACTCAGATACTTTGATGGTAAAGGGGAAAGCAGGAGAGATCTAGAAGATCATGGTCTGTAAGATTAGATAAGGATAAGGAGCAATGTAAAGGTGGAGAAAGGACTTATGCTCTATGTCCTGGTGTTGGTTGTTCAAAGACAAATAATGCTCCCAGACTGGCTGAGGAATATCTGGAAAGAGACACCTCCTACAGAAGACCTAAAGGTCTCTGAACAGTGATATCCACTCCATGGGGGGCAGGGACTGTTGGGGGGGGGCCATCATGCCAACCCCTCCCTGGAGCTACCATGCCTGGCAGCACAGGGACCATCCTCTGGAGATGATTTTCAGGCTCTCCAAGTCTAGTGGAAACCACTGCAGCTACACAGACACTGGCAGAGCTCTTCCACTCCTTGTGATCTAACCTCATATCTGTATTTCATCCTAAGTCACTTTAAGCCAAGTCTATGGCTTTCCCCTTTTCCCCTTGCAATGCCAAACAGCCTGAAGTGCTCTAGTATTTCTCTCCTGGGGCTCAGTTCCTCGGCTCCTTACTTCTCAACCTGGACCTGCATTCTCCTTACTTAGAAATTGCCTTTTCAAAGAAGGGATCAACTGATGGGTGGAGGAGACAGATCTTCCTGGGATGTGGTGTCCCAGTAGACTGTTTGCAGCAGTTTCTATTCCATTCTTCCCTGCCTGGTGAGACAGCAGCCCCTCCAAGGTGTCCTGCCAGCTGCCCTGGGTCAGGGTATTGCAGAAGATCCAGAGGATAAGTGGGAGGAAGAGCTATAAGACTGCAAAGACAGACATAAAACTTAGCTCAGGGAAACTGTGGATGCCACATCCCTGGAAGTGTTCAAGGTCAGGTTGGATAAGGCTTGGATCAACCTGGTCTGGTGAAAGGTGCCCTTGCCCATGGCAGAGGGGGGGAACTGGATCAGCTTTAAGTTCCCTTCCAACCCCAACCATTCCAGGATTCCATGATAAATGGCCCAGAGGAAGGTCATTCCTTGGCCCAAGGTAGAGAAAAGGATCCAAAGCCAAGGCAGTAGAGGTGAGGGGAGCAAAAGATGTAATGGATGATTCTCAGAACAAAGTTCAATCCACCTATAGCCCAATGAGTCCCATCTGTGCAAACAGTGGCTGCTTGCTCAGCAAACACAGCTATCCCAGCCCCACTGCCGCAGCCTTAGCCAGCATTTTTGGAGGAGGGGATGTTTTAACATCTGCAAAGATCTGGTATTTGGACCACTTAAGAAACTTCCATATTGGGGTGCGGGATGTACCTTCACATGCAGCCACAGTGCACCCCATCCCCCTCAGCAAACCACAGTCACCAGTCTTCAGAGGGGCAAACAGGAGCGCCCTTGCCATTGGTAAAACATCCATGTCCAAACCCACAGCACATGAGGGACTCCATCCCCACCTTCTTCAGCTCCTTGGCTTTCTGTGGGATTCTGTTTGGTCCCTCTGGGACAAACATGCTCTCAGACCCCATGGGAAGAGACAGAGCTCTTCAGGCCTGGCAGCAAAATGAGAAAGGACATCCGAGGTGACAGGGCATGAGGAAGGAATGAAGGCAGCCAAGGAGATGGTCCAGGGCCAGAGTGTCTGTGCTCAAGTGCGCAGGAAGGAAATGAGCTGGTTGTGCTCCTCTTCCTCATCATATCCACCTCAATCTTCTCTTCCCACCCCAGAACTCTACAAGGGGCACCCACTCAGTCTCCTGAGACCACAGCACGATGCTCTGAGGCCCCAGCCCCTATCATGTCTCTGATCAGTCACAGCTCTCCTCACACATAGACTCTGGACCCGAATTTGTCCCTCTGAACCTCCAACCCGCTGCTGCCAACAAGTGGCAGCAGCACCCTCAGCCCAGCACGTAGTGCTGTTTGCACAGCCCTTGCTCAAACACAATAGCCAGAGCTGGCTCTGCAGCCCCTCCAGCAGTGCCACGACCTCCCTCCCTTCCACCCTGACTGG